TTGGCGTGTTAATGACTGCAGAATTACATAACAGATATTTCCGTATCGCGTTTTCAGTCAATAAAATGTATATTGAACATGTCGAATACACGTAAATAAGTTGAAACGGTAACATTCTGTGGACCAACGTCAGGTTCCAGAACACAAACAAATTTTTTGCGAAAATTAATGCGAAGTTAATCGCTTGGGATCAACGTTTGCAGTATGCCATAAATTTATACTTTTTCATCGCATTCTAAAATTAATACAAAATGTTTGATCCAATGAATATATTCATTCGATTAAACATTTGGTTTTAATTTCTGATTATTTACTTTTATTCAACCTCATTTAATGTACTTCTGAATATTTCAATGCACGGCGAGACAAAATAAACATGCGACATTCTCCAATCATGAAACCGCAAGTAAATAACCACATAATTTTTAAAAAAATACTTGCGTCTTGGAAATTGACGTTAGGCCACAAAAACGTTCACATCAATTTTTGTTATTTTATCTAGTAGTATTTACGGAATTCCATATAATATAAGTGAATTACCAAAAATTATACACATCACTTTTTGGTAATTTACTTATATTGTATGGAATTCCGTAAATACCACTAGACAAAATAATAAAAATTGTTGTGAACGTTTTTGTGGTCTAACGTCAATTTTCAAGACGCAAGTATATTTTTAAAAATTATGTGGTTATTCACTTGCAGTTTCATGATTGCGGAATGTCGCATGTTTATTTTGTCTTGTCGTGCACTGAAATATTCAGAAGTACATTAGATGAGATTGAATATAAGTAAATAGTCAAAAATTGACATGTACCGTTTCTTAACATAACCTAATTAATTTCAGGGCAGAATATATTTCTGTAAATATTGTGAAGTTTATTGGCATGGTAAGGACTGCAAAACAGATATTTCTTATTGCGTTTTCAGATAATAAAATGTATATTAAACATGTCAAATGTATCTTAATAAGTTGAAACTATAATACTCTGTTGACCAACGTCAGGTTCCAGTACACAAACGAATTTTTTGCGAAAATTAATGCGAAGGATCAAAGTTTGCAGTATGCCATAAATTTATACTTTTTCACCGCATTCTAAAATTAATACAAAATATTTAATCCAAAAATATGTATGAATATCAAATTGATGTGTACAGTTTTATGATATAACGTTTCTTTCCAAGACAAATAATTTCTATAATGTTAAAATAATTCTTTGAGAATTAATATTTGCAGGATACAGTTATGAACTCACATTTTCTTAACGTGTTATCACATATTGAAAGTTATATTATTCATTATAAATACATAAAAATAAACAAAAATTAAAATTTATTTAGAGTCTAACGTTTTCAGGGCGCAGACTTATAAATCTTACATAAATTATTCACTTACAATTAGTGTTACTGTTTGTCAATATTTGTGGAATACCGTAAAAATCCATCTTTTTTATGTCAGTCTCTAATGTTAAGAAATATTATATAAACTATTGAATATACAGTAATAAGTATAATACTGATATGTATTATCTAATTATTTCTTAAGGTTATTTCCAGAACACAATTTTCATAAATAATGTTAAATCTTTTTATTGTATAAAAAATGATAAGGAAGGATTCGCGTGAACGCAGAATGCAGGGTTAAGTGCAATTTTTAATTGATTTTCTGCCTTTTCGCATTCTGCTTTTCTGCTTTCATTGTAAGTCCTCCTTAGAGAATATTGAGTTTATGTGATTTACACTTCTTGCAGCATTTTTGTTTTTTCTCTTTTTAACGTACAAATATACATATATTTATCTTTTTACAAGTGCAAAAATTTTTGTGGATTTTAAATAACATAAACAAATCTATTATAATTAATTTTCATGTAGATTAAGCAAAGAACTAATGGCTGCGTTCAGTAGAGAAAGCAGGTTAGTGAGTGTTTAATGATTTATTATTATGATTGATTTCTGCATTTAAATTCAGCAATAATCCTAAATGAAAGTACTAATTATATTAAAAAATCACTAAACGTTCATTGATCGGGGTTTTGTTTAGGAATTCACGGTATATCATTTTATCCTTGTTATTCACCGAATATTAAACAAAGTTAAAATGATATCTAAATGCATGTAAGCTAAGTTTTTGTACACAGCCTTGTTTT